AGACAGATAGAGAGAGAGAGAGAGAGAGAGAGAGAGAGAGAGAGAGAGAGAGAGAGAGAGGTTTTAAATCACCACTAAAAAAGTATTCTTATCGTCAAGGTAAAAATCAAAAGTTCTACATTAACCTTGCACGTTCTGTCGACTTAACCGCACATATTTTATTTTATGGGGAAGCTTTGCAACACTGTTATTACTTTACGGAATATCGGTTCTCGCAATTATAGAGTGGATCGAACTTTATTCGACGATAATTACGTGCGTAAAATCTTGGAACGCACTTTGTTCTCTTTTTTTTCATATTTATTTTATAATATTAATATATTTATTCTACAAATATAACAAGCGCGTATGCATGTGCGCTAATTAACAGTGTTTTGTGTCATGATTAAATCACGTCATCGCGGCACCGTTGAACTTAATTGGAATCGTTCAACCACACGCTTCACTTTCTCCAGCGATATAGCCATACGCGCGCGTATGTGTACACGCGCCACCGTTGACATTTCCAATCTATCGCATACTAAAGAACCGGCAGCTAACTAAGCGCGAAACTTTGATTAGGAACGAGCGTGATTGCTTAAAGCAGTGCAGAGCAAATCTGTCGCCGCGCTGATGAGATGAACGTGATTAAGCGCAACGATTAAACGCGACAACGTTACTCTCATATCGGTATTTTAGAAAAGTTAATGTAACATGGCGACACAACACTCCAATTTTTCATGTAACTCATATATACGATGAGATGAAAAGATGCAACTATATCGTCGTTCACTTTATTTGCTTTATCATATTCGTTGTTTATTTTCTATTAAAAATATTTTCATTGTAGTTGTTTTAATTCAAGCTTCACAGTTCGGTATTACTTGCAATAAAATAAATAAACACAGAAGATTTTTTCGCTCAACTCAATTAAAGTAGAAAAAAAATTATTTTTTACTCCGCCCTTTCGGGCGGAGGATCAAACAAATACCATCCATCTTGTCGTGCACGTCCGCGTAACTCTCTTAGAAAGAATACGATAAAACGCTTCGCCACGAGAAAGGAGAATTGGAGAAAAAGTTCCGTCCCGTAGATTATAGTGTGCACGGAAAGCTGTTACGCGCTTAGCGGTAAGTACGTGGAACGAGAGTATTAACGCGTGCTCGGTGCGGCAGAATGCGAAATTGCTCTTACATGTCGCGACCGTGTGTACGCATCATAATTAATGCGCGCAGATTAGGGGATTAAACTAACTGCAGTAACGGCAACCAGTAACGTCCTCAACCTGGATACGCGCCGGCGCGGTCTGATGATGACACTCGGTTAGGCGTTTCGCGCGGATAATTTCTATTTATCGCATAATATACCGACGGAAGTTCGACCCTTAGAATAATTCATTTCGTCGCTTCGCGACTGCGTGCGCGCGCGCGCGTAGGCCGCTTTACGTAAATTCATCACGCTCACGTATAACCAATCGGAACTGGAGCATTAATCAACCGATAATTATTCCATAAACCCGAAACTTCCATGAGAGTTTCGGTTTCGATGCGCTTTCCCTTTAATTATCAACGCGTACCAATTAACCGGATACCGAAGAGCCCTATACTTGGTTTGTTTTTTCTTATCCGCCAATATCGCGCTGCCGTCGGATTGAACCAACTTTCGCGATAAAGCGCCGAAAAATATACTCAGAAAGAAACACGGTGATAACAATTATACAGATGACAATTATACGCGTTTTATATGTAGAATCGTAATATAAAATGTGTATGGTTTAATAAATCTTATAATTATGGCAACTGAAGCTTTAATTGCAATAGATACGAAATAGTTTATTAAATTATATACAGTACAATTCTATATACAAAACTGTACAGGTATATGTAATGCACACATTTTAATAAGCTATCTTATAGTTATTGCAGCTGAAATTTTAGTTGCAATAGCTACGAAATAGTTTATTAAACTATATACATAGTACAATTCTGCATACAAGACTGTGTATAATTGCCATCAACGTGTCTTTTGCTCGAAATGTAGACAAAAGATCAAATGACTTTTGAAGAATTCGAGCTCGTATTTTTCTCGATTTCTACGAAAAGGGATGAATTGCAGAGACTGCCGAGGAGTCGTAACCCGCACGTTCGTGCACAAGCAACTCTGTGCTCGTCAATTATCAAAAGTAAACCGAACACGACCTCACTCTATTAACGAGAGCAGCGATGGATTAATCGCAACAACGTGACCGGAAATAAAGCGTCGGTTCCCGCCGTTCCTTTTGACGTTCACCCTTTGTTGTTTGCTTTGCCGAAACTATCCGTAGAAGTGCGCGATACCACATGCCAACGCCGGGAACGAGTCCTTTGAGCGACGTGCAAAGGACGTCGGGGCTTCAAACACCCTGTGAGTTTCTCGTCGTTTACACGTACGCGCTCCACTTTCGAGCCCGTCCGCTCTAGCAAAATCAAACGAATCAAATGAACTGAGCAGAATCCTCGATCAAGCGACAGAAATTCGCTTCGTTAGACCGGCCGCCATTCTTGTCCGACTCGAGTCGTTCCGTTACTACTGGCGACAGTCCTTGTCGAAGTCAACGAAGCCATCCGTTGACATCGCAGCCGCGTCTCTTTTCCTTCTTCTGAAGATAACAAGATTGCCATCATGCAGACTTACTCAATAGTCGATGAACCATGCAACCTCTAAGGAGCTATTTTTACCTGAAGCTTTTTCTCAAGCGGTTACGCAGGCTTAAAAATAATAATTTGATAAAAAAATGTGATAAGAAAGAAGAATTATTGCGTTGGCGATGTCAAAGATAGTATCGAGGTATCTAGGTGACGTAGCTTTACGGAGAATAGAAGCTTGCAATCTCGCGCCGGTGAAGTAACGCGAAACTGCCTCGCGTTGACTCAGGACGTAAACGCGATTCTCATGATTTGGTTTACGAGTCGCGTTTCTTGCTCCCCGAAGACGCTTCAAAATTTCTTCAACAGCTCTCAGACTGTGCTCGAAAAATGAGACTGTGTGGAGACTAGCAGGGGGTAAATTCCTATTTGGGTGGGATTGAATAAAGGACGCTCGCGCTTAAACTCCAAAGAACCGTAACGATAAAGAGTCGCAAACGTAACGACGAAGCTCGAGACTAAATCACCAGTGTAGCACGTAACGAGCGGTATGAGGGAACTACATAAACCCTGCGGAGACGTCGTTGTTGCCGCCATGGGGATGCCGCTTCTTTTCTAAATGGACCGCGGCAGGACGCTGAACTTCCGGTAAGAAGCCGGCGAGACGACGGAGGCCGTGACGACGTGGCGCGAGCGCGTTTAAAATTCAACGGCGCGGCGGCGCACGGCCGTCGCGAACAACGTCGGCCGATTTGCATATCAAAGGTGAGAACAAACTATTCAGAAGCGGGTCAGAAATCTTCAGCGCGGCGCGCCGAGATCGCCGGAAAAATATTCCCTCGCATGCGCACGTTTACGCGACACTTTATGTGGGGGCATACGAGCGCGAACGCCACATCAGGCATTCCGAAACTTTTCATCCTGACACCGGCACGCCGGCTAAGAAATTGTCACCCGGGCTGAATTTTGCATACTGCTTCTCGTTTGGGCGCGTTTCACGACAGCACAGAGAACGAGTTTGCGAAGTGAACATTTCTTAGATAACCTTTTCTTTTTTTTTCT